TCTCTCTCTCTCTCTCTCTCTCTCTCTCTCTCTCTCTCTCTCTCTCTCTTTCCTTTCCCCTTCCTTCCTTCTTTTCCCCTCCCTCCCTTCCTTCATCGAGGTCTCACTCTGTCACCCACCTGGAGTGCAGTGGCACATTCATGGCTCACCTCAGCTTCGACTTCCTGGGCTCAGGCAATCCTTCCCCTTCAGCCTCCCAAATAGCTGGGACTACAGGTACACACCACCACACCCAGGTAATTTTCATTTTTTCTGTAGAGATGAGGTCTCTTTATGTTGTGTAGGCTGGTCTCATACTCCTGGGCTCAAGCAGTCCTCCTGCTTTGGCCTCCCAAAGTGCTGGAATTCTAGGCATGAGCTACCTAATGCACTGGTCTATTTTCTTTTTAACTGACAAACAGTAACTGTATATGTTAGATGTGTATGAAGCATCATGTGATGTTTTTATATACATTGTTTACACTGTGGAATGATTCCATCATGCTAGTTAACAAAGGCAGCACCTTACATACCTGTCATTTTTTTTTTTTTTTGCTGGTAAAAACATTTAAAATCTACTCTTTTAGCAATTTTGAAATGTGTGATACATTTTTATTGTCTATTTTTATAGATTTAGAGGGTACAAGTGCAGTTTTGCTACATGGATATTTTGGATAGTGGTGAAATCTGGGCTTTTGTGTGACCATCACCCAACTAGTATATCTTGTATCTAATAGGTGGGCTTTCATTTTTCACTCCCTGTCCACTCTTCCACCTTCTGGAGTCTCCAGTGTCTATGATTCCACTCATTGAGTTGTTATTTATTGTAGCAAATGTTCTGTACAGTAGATCACTAAAGCTTATTTCTCCTGTCTAACTGAAATATTGTATCCTTTGATCAACATATCTCCACAGAATGACAGACACCCAGCAGGAGCTTATAGTTATCGAAGTATAGTGTTCAAAGGATTAACAACACAATTCTTACACAAAAAAAGCTAAAGAACACAGGCTGGCCCATTTATTTAACTCACTCATGAGGGAACAGGAGGATAACAAACATGAAACATTTATAGCCACTGAAATAAGAATGGCAACATTAGCTATGAGGCTATTTAAATGTTCTACAGGGCTAATAAACTGTGATCTTCAGGGCTTTTCTATTGGAGGAAAACCATTTGCAACATATCTGTGTATAAATTAGAATCTAGGCCCTAATAGAAATAGTAAAATTAATCACAGGTACATTTCACTAGAGCAGGAATTAGTAAACACTCTGACCACCACTTGCTTTTATAAATAAAGTTTTATTAGACACATTTTCATCTGTTTACTGTATATGTCTCGAGCCATAATGGTAGAGTTGAGTAGTTTCAACAGACACGGTATGTCCTTCAAGGCCTCAAATATTTTATTGTGGTCCTTTGTAGAAAAACCTTGCCAACTTCTGCGCTGGAATAAGAAATAATCGAATGGGCCTTTTAGATAGCGCCCCAGTGTAAAAGTCCTGCAGTCAGTCTCTGACCTTGTTTGCAATTATTGGATCCTTTTCTTAGCATTGTCTGGGCCGGAAAGCATATGTGTTTGAAAGGTTTTTGTGAGGCCTTTGATGATGCCTATTTTGAATGAAAGGGCTGACCCTCTGATGTGTCCCCAGCCCAGGAAATAGGCCTCTTCCTTTTCTTGCATGTGTCCTGCCAGAGAGCTGGGACTTTGTAGGCCCCAGATAATTGTTGTCTGCCTCATAAATTGCTTCCTCCAATTGAATTTTGGACCTCTGGTTTCCACAGACAGATCAGTATTCATTATGATGGTGATGCCAATGTCCCCCCCTCCCTCCAGCGAACTGCTATCAGGCTTACAAATGTGTCTAAAGCTTTATCCATATCATCTCACTTCATTCTTACAACAACTGTAGCCATTTCACAGCTGAGAAAACTGAGGCTGTCTTCCATTCTTTATTTTATTTTTTTGAGTTGGAGTCTCACTTCAGGCTGGATTGCAGTGGCACGCTCATGGCCACCCCAGCATCAACCTACTAGGCTCCAGCGATCCTTCTGCCTCAGCCTTCCAAGTAGCTGGAACTACAGGTGTGCACTACCACACCCGGCTAATTTTTTATTTATTTATTTATTGTAGAGATGAGGTCTTGCCAAGTTGCCCAGGCTGTTCTCAAACTCGTGGGCTCAGTCAGTCCCCTCACCTTGAGCTCCCAAAGTGCTGGGATTACAGGCTTGAGCCACCACATTTCTTTAAAGGTTGGGTTTCTTGGTTGCACATTCAGGAGCCATTGGGATGAAGTGGTGTCACCTTGTCAAACAGCCCAGATAGAGAACATTCCTGTCATCACAGAATGTTCCATCAGACAGTGCTGTTCACATGTGGATGTGGCTTCTGGGGCTGCTTTTGTTCCCCGGGTCCTGTTGGTGAGATCCGCCAGGTGCTGGAAAGTTCACTGCATCATCACAGAGATTGAGGACTTGGGATGAAGAACATTCCCCAGCTTCCTTTCTTAAAAAAAAAAAAAATCTTTTTTCTCCACTCTGTTGCCCAGGCTGAATGTACAGTAGTGCCATCACACCTCATTACAGCCTCCAACTTCTGGGTTCAAGCAATCAGCCTCCCAAGTAGCTGGCACTATACAATCGTGTGCCACCATACCTGGCTAATTTTTTTATTTTTTTATTTGTAGACATGGTCTCAGTATGTTGCCTGGGCTGGTTTCGAACTCCTGGGCTCAATTGATCCTCCTGCCTCGGCCTCCCAAAGTGCTGAGATTGCAGGCATGAGCCTCTGTGCCTGGCCCCAAAATTAAATATATAAACCTACAATTAAACAAATTATGCTTTTAAAAAGGTACTAAATACTCAACACTCACCACTTCCTAATGATCTTACTACATTTTTCCATTGTGTTCTTGAGAGGTTCTCTTTGACTTTTGTGTCTGGAGTGGATACAAATTGTATCTACTATTGGAAATAGCTACTTAGTCTTGTGCTACTATGTATCTCTTGCCCACTCTATGTTGAATGACTTCTTGTTGGTAGCTTGAAATTGACTATGGTGGGAGTATTTACACCAGGGAAACTGGCAAACTGTGGTGAGTCAGGATCTCTCTGCCTCCCTTCCTCAGGTAGTTACTAAATATTTGCAAGCACACCAGTGGTTTGGGGGGTTCAGTGAGTTCAGACACTGTCAGCAAGTGGTGTCAACTGCAGCTATTATTGTTGTTGTTATTTTTTTTTTTTGGCTTTCATTTCCTGATCCAGAATTGCCGCCTGTGCAGACAGGCGCTGACCCGCTGTGTTTTCTTTCTCTCCCCAGTCTGCCCGACCATCTGTAAGTCACATGGCTGTACCGCCGAGGGCCTTTGCTGCCACAGCGAGTGCTTGGGGAACTGCTCCGAGCCTGATGACCCCACCAAGTGCGTGGCCTGCCGCAACTTCTACCTGGACGGCAGGTGTGTGGAGACCTGCCCACCCCCATACTACCACTTCCAGGACTGGCGCTGCGTGAACTTCAGCTTCTGCCAGGATCTGCACAACAAATGCAAGAACTCACGGCGGCAGAACTGTCCCCTTTATGTCATTCACAACAACAAGTGTATCCCTGAGTGCCCTTCTGGGTACACGATGAACTCCAGCAAGTGAGTCCTGGGTGTGGGTCTTGGTGGGGGCAGGCAGTAAAGAGGAGAAGGAACGTGGGGTTGGTTATAACAGTGCTGCCTGTTAAAACTGTGCAAAACCAGAGTTAACAGGCCATTGCTAGTCTCAGATGCTACTTTGCTCCCTGTTATGGTCCTGGGCTTGGAAGAAGGAGTCGACCTTTTTCTCCAAAGGACCAGATGGTTAATATTCCTGGCATCTTGCACACCAGTTCTGAACTTGCGGTGCCTAACTTCAGAACCAAAAACATAAGGACAGAAGTCTTCAGTTTCCCCTAAAATCTTCCTCGTGGCCTGTCCTCGCTGGTGTAACTGCTTCATTGTTTCACCAGGACCATAGCAGAGATTTTGCATGTCTTCCCCGATTTGTAGCTGTATAGTGTACTGAAATTAGCCTGGAACATATTATCGCAAGGAGGAAGAGTCTTGCTTCCAAATTTTCTCAGGGCTTTGCTGTTCTTTGAAGACCAGTGTAATCAAACCATTTCCTACCATTTGGGTGGAAATGGCAGAGTTTTTTTCTCTTCAAGGGTGAGTCAGATTTCCTATGCATATCGCATACTTTGTGTTCATTCCGTTAGCTTCTTAGATGAGTTATTTTGGTGCCTCGAGGCCGTAACCAAGCTTTAAAAATCTGTTTCCTGGTTTTTGTGTTGAGATTTTGTGCGTGCATGCGCATGTGTGAGTGTGTGTGTGTGTGTGTGTGTGTGTGTGTGTGTGTGTGTGTGTGTGTATGTGTTGAGGTTTAAAAAACAACCACCACAAAACAACATGAAAACAAATCAGAAACAGACACATGTCAAGAGGCCTTGATCTGACCTTCTGACGTAAAAAAAAAAAAAAAAAAAAAAAAATCTTCAGACTTGAGAATTAGCCAAGTACAAGTGTTCTGGTGGGAAATTTTGTTTCCCTGGGTGGGGAGGGCAGGAAGGAAAACAGTCTTTCATTTTTGCTTCTTATGGGTCTCTCTTCTAGTGTTTTTGAAGCTGCAAGGACAGTATGTTTTGTTTTACTCATTTTTGATAAAAATCCATCAAAGGACTTTGTTGACCCAAAACAGGCCTCTATAAATTACCTTTGCATGCCAGACAGAGCTTTTTTTTTTTGGCTAGTTTATTAGAAAGCTTGAATCAAATGACCATATTCCTTTTGATTCATTTCATTAAAAAAAAAATCACATTTGGGGCTGGACACAGTGGCTCATGCCTTTAATCCCAGCACTTTGGGAGGCTGAGGCAAGAGGATTGCTTAAGCCCAGGAGATCGAGACCAGCCTGGGCAACAACAGAGTGAGACCCCCCATCCCTACAATAAATAAATAAATGAATAAATAATTTGGGTGTGATGGCACATGCCTGTAGTCCTAGCTACTTGGGAGGTTGAGGTGGAAGGATTGCCTGAGTTCAGGAGGTCGAGGCTGCAGTGAGCCATGATCATGCCACTGCACTCCAGTCTGGGTGCCAGAGTAAGACCCTGACTGATAATAATAATAATAATAATAATAATAGCAATAAGAAGAAGAAGAAAAAAATCACATTTGAAATAAAGAATGGGTCTTAATGTCACCTGGTGAGTTACTTGTTTAATAGACATTGACCTTCAATTAAAGGTATTTTTCTTTTACCATAACTGAGGTCTGAGAAATATAACAGCCTCTTCTGATATTCTCACTGATGGTGCAGTAAACCCCAAAAGCCCTCTGATAACCACAGCTTGTCCTTTGATGTCTGAGGCCTTTGCTCACTGGAAGAAAATAAAGTAAGAGACTGGGCTCAGTGATTCAACCTGTAATCTAGCACTTTGGGAGGCCAAGTGCTGAGCCTGTGGGTTCGAGCCCAGCCTGGGCAACTTGGCGACACTTCGTCTCTATAATACATCAAAAGTTAACCAGGAGTGGTAGCACGCACCTTTAGTTCCAGCTACTTGGAATGCTAAGGTGGAAGGATCACCGGAGCCCAGCAGGTTGACGCTGGGGTGGGCGTGAGTGTGCTATGGTACTCCAGCCTGGGCAACAGAGTGAGACTCAAACTCAAAAAAGAAAATAAAATAAGGGACAATCATGATGTATTGTTGCAGTATTTTACTTTGTAGGCTCCTTTTTTTTTTAAGGGAATGAAGACTGTCATCCAGGCTGGAGTACAGTGGTGTGATCATAGCTCACTGCAACCTCAAACTCCTGGGTTCAAGTGATCCTCCCACCTCAGCCTCCAAAAGTGCTGAGATTACAGGTGTGAGCCATCGCACCTGACCTGTTTTGTAGGATTTAAAAATTTTAAAAATATTTACAGTAAGTCCCTTACATATGAACTAGTTCTGTTCCGAGACTGCATCTGTAAGTCCAATTTGTTTGTAAGTCCAATAATGTTAGCCTAGATATCCAACTAACACAATTGGCTATATAGTACTCTATTGGAATAGTTTTATAATACTTTTTGCACAAATAATACACAAAAAACAAACAGTACTGTAGCGTAAAGTACATAAAAGCACAACCACTTGTAGAGGATGCACACATATGACAATGTTCACCAGACACACGAACTACCTTATGTGTTTGGGCATGTGGATGTACGTTCTCAACTTGAACGTTTGCAACTTGAAGGTTTGTATGTAGAGGACTTACTGTATTGTATTATCACATGAAAGATTTTATAGTACTGGTGCATCTTTCTAATGTGGGTTGGTATCAAATATGGCCAGATATGTGTTCTTCCATTCTGGCTTATCTAGAAATAGTTCTCAATGTTTTCAGAGCTGAGTTCTCAGAACCCATGTGGATTTCTTAAATGGTCTCATTGTCTACTGCCATCCCAAGGTGCCTGGTAGGAACAGCACCGTGCTTTATTCTGAGATGAGGACTAGATATTTGAGTTGAATGTTAAGTTTTCAATGGGTGTGGGCATTCTATCAGGAAGAGCAAAAATTACCCAGAATCCTTGACTCTTTTTTTGGCCTCTATTGCTCCTTTCTGTTAAACTGAGGTCATAAATCTGTCCACAACTCCATCTATGTCATCATTATATCTGACTCAGTCCCCCTGAATGATTTATTTGCTCATCTTCTGCTTTTATTCTGGGTACACTGGCTAAAAATGGGAATCCGATCACGCCACGTCCTTGCCTTAAACCCACAGTGGCTCCCCAAGGCACACAGACAAAATCCAGACTCCTTATCTACAAGGTGCTGTGAGTTGTCATATCATTCCAGTCCCCCCTTGCCCACTGGGATGACCACACAAGCTTTTCCTCCAACTTGGTACATGGAGTTTCCTCCGTGCCTTTGCACAAGCTGTTCCCTTTTCCTAAAATGCTCATCCCTCAGTCTTTGGATGGCTGACTTCTTCTCCTGGTCATCTAGGTTGCAGCTTAAAAGTCACCTCCTTGGAGAATCCTTCCCTGTCTGAATCAGCCATCCTTCCACGCACACTACCCAGTTTTAACTCTTTTCTGCTAGCTGATGTTTGTGTCATCTCTTTATTTTTCTTTCTCTCCAAAAGCACAGTAGATGCATCGTGAGTGTATCGGTTAGTTCTTACTGTGTAACAAAACCCCTTTGGTGCTTGGTGGTTTAAAACACTCATTAATGAGTTATGATGATTTTGTAGGTTGACTGGTGACTTTTCCCCTGGCCTGGGCTGGTTTAGCGATAGCTGATGGGTTAGGATAGCCTCTTGTGTCTTAGATGGTCAGCTGGGGCATCTCTCTATGAGGTCTCTCATCTCAGCAGCCAGGAAGGGCAGAGTTCTATGTGCAAGTGCTTCAGCTTCCCGGTATCCCACTGGCCAAAGCAAATCCTATGGCCAAGCCCAGATTCAATAGGTAAGGAAGTAGATATCGCTTCTTGGTGGGAGAGACTGTCATGGCCATTTATAATTCCTCAGGGAGAGTCGATGATCTCTTTTGTTCACTCATGTGTACCTGCAGCTGAGAATAGAGGTTGACCAAGGACCAGATAGTAAATATTTCCAGCTCTCAGGACCATATGGTCTCTGTTGCAGTGACTGAACTCTTCCTTCATAGTGTGAAAACTGGGTTAGCTGATACACTAACCAATGGATGTGGCCCTGTTCCAGCAGGACATTATTTGCAAAAACAGGTGGCTAGCTGGATTTGGCCCACGGGCTGGGGTTTGCCAACCCCTGGCTTAAAGTATCACCTGCCACATAATAAATATAGAGCCAATCAAAGAATCTAAACATTCGATCACTTTTTTTTCCTGCTCCAGCTGTTCTAACACTAACTGGGTATGTTGTGACATCATTTTGACACTAACCACCTGGAATCAGCATCAGACTCCACGAGTTCAGGGTTCAGTCCTTCACAAGACTTCCCTTACTTACTTCAGACGTGGGCTGCACTTTGGGGATTCCCTGGTCACCCACACTTCTAACCAGCTGGCTATAAGTTTGGGGGTTCCCACAACTCCTTTGGGTTTGATAATTCACTAGAGCAACTCACAGAACCAAAATAAACCCACTGTACTTACATGGATAGTTCTAAAGCATAAATGCAGGCCATGGTCAGAGAAAGTCCTAGACATGGAATTGACATAATTCTCTCTATCACCCTCTTGGCATATTGATGTGTTCACCAGCTAAGAAGCATCGCTGAGCATTGATATCCAGCGATTTTACTGGGGTTGCATTCCTTAGGTGTGATTGATTGGATCATTGGCCATGGGATTGAGTGCCGCCTCCAGCCCCTCCCCCTCCCTGGAGGTCAGATGTGACTGAAAGCCTAACCCTCTAATCCCATAATTGGTCTTTCTAGTGACCAGCTCCCATCCTAAAATTATCTAGGGACCCAGCACAAGTCACCTCAACCATTCTCATACTCCAAGCAAAGGCATTCCTGAGACATGGAAAATTCCAAGGGATTTTGAAGCCCTATGCCAAGAACCAAGATAAAAACCAGAAATGGTCTTTTTTTGTTTTGTTTTTTGAGTTGGGGGTCTCACTTTGTTGTTCAGGCTGGAGTGCAATGGCACAGTAACAGCTCACCACAGCCTCGACTTCCTGGGCTCAGGTGATCCTTCCACCTGTAGCTGGGACTACAGTTGTGTGCCGCCATGCCTGGCTAATTTTTTTATTTATTTATTTTTTTGTAGAGACAGGGTCTCGCTATGTTGCTCAGGTTAGTTTCAAACTCCCAGGTTCAAGTGATTTTCCCACCTCGGCCTCCCAGAGTGCTGGGATTGCAGGTATGAGCCACTGTGCCCAGCCCAGATATATTCTTTTTGATACCATAACCACAGAAATTGTTCTAAAAATTGAATACACAGGTGTGGGGAAAGAACAGAAGAAGCAACAATGAAGCCATTTATGGAATGTGATCATCATAGTAATGAATAACAACTGTTTTCTATGTGCTAGGGGTTTCAGGTGGTGTGTGTCATTTAGCCCTTGTCACAGCCTGTGGGGCTAGTGCTATCATCTCCATTTTACAGATGAGGAAATGAGACTGTAATCGCTGGGGATCTTGTAGTTTTGTGTGACAAGATCCCAACTCAGACTGGCTTAAGCAAGATTAAAGGAGTGTATTGGTGCCTATAACCAAACAGTTCAGGGAGCTGCTTCAGGTATAACTGTATTCAGGAGTTTGAGTGACATGCAGGGTCTGTCTCTTTCCATCTTCTGGCTTTATTTCACTCTGTTGGTTTTGTTCTCATGTAGCTGCTTCTTCCTCACCCCTTGTCCCATGCTAGCAAGATGGTGATGTCCCCTTAGATACTCAGGAGGGAAGACAATTTCTCCTTCCAGAAGGTTCTAGCAGATCCCTCACTGTGCCGACATGGGTCGTGTGCTCACCTCTGGACCCCCTAGGGGGACAGAAGATGGTGCTCAGACTAGCCTGGCTTGGATCTGCATTCCTCCTGGATCTAGAAGGGCTTTGCCTGCCAGGAACTGAGTTCAGCTGGAGAGGACTGGTTCCCAGGGGGCACAAGGGGGCTGTGGATTTGAGGGCATCATCACCCACTACTAAACATGGGGCCTTGTCACAGTCGTGGTTGCACCCACCTCACAGAACAGCAAACATTCTGTCTCCTTGCAGCAGGGGGCCGAATTCCGCCACGTTGGGCTAACAGCATCTATTCAGCCACCCAGGTGTGGTGGCAAGTCCCCTGTCACCTTGGTAACACCATGAGTCCCATCGCCGTGGTGCACGGGACAGACCATGATCCTGTCTCAGAGGGGGGCGTGTCATATGAGTCCCAGCACCCTGAGGTACGGCAGGAGTCCCATCCCATCACTGTGTGGTGGAGTGTGAGTCTTGTCACCTTGAGGGAAAAGTGTGAGGGACTGCCACCGAGGGAAAGTGGCAGAAGTCTCTCACTTCACTTTCTCCTCTGGGGGAGACTGGCCATCCTCCCTCCCCAGGGGATACTTTAGGTTGTCGTGACATGGGGGAGAGGCACTGCTGGCATCTAGTGGGTGGGGCCCAGGGGTGCTGTGCAGCGGCCTACAGTGCCCGGGATGACTTGATGTCAGTGGTGCAGAGGTCGGGACCCCAGCATAGCCTGGGGTCTGCCGTGTGGGAGGGTCCCTGTGCGCCCTGACCCCGCCCTCTCTCTGCTCCATCCTCAGCCTGATGTGCACCCCCTGCCTGGGCCCCTGTCCCAAGGTCTGCCCCATCCCGGAAGGTGAGAAGACCATCGACTCAGTGACGTCGGCCCAGGAGCTCCGAGGATGCACCGTCATCAACGGCAGCCTGATCATCAACGTCCGAGGAGGCAGTGAGTGCTCTGGGCAGAGGGAGGAGGGTGACCTTGGGGTTCTCGTCCCTGTGAGCAGAAGAGAAAAACAGCCAGGCTCTGCCTCACACTCCTGAGGCAGTGTTAAGACCATTATCCAGAGGATCTCCGAGGAGTAGGGCTGGGAGTTGGCCTCAAAACCTGAAATGAGCAAAGCAGTTCAAGCCCCGCCACTCCGAGGGACTTATTCTCCAAGTTGGGAGTTGAGGCAACAGAAATCCACGCTTACCTTTTTAAATGTTATGTTTAGATTTGGGGTCTCACTCTGTCACCCAGGCTGGAGTGCAGTGGCACATCATGGCTCACTGCAGCCTCGACCTTCTGGGCTCAAGTCATCCTCCCTCCTCAGCCTCGACCACCATGCCTGGCTTTTTTCTTTTTCTTTTTTAGAGAGCCAAGCATGATGGCTCACACCTGTAATCCCAACACTTTGGGAGGCCAAGGCAGGAGGATCACTTGAGCCCAGAAGTTCGAGACCAGACTGGGCAACATAGTGAGATCCTACTTCTACCCCAAAATAAATAAATACATAAATAAAAGAACTAGCTGGACATGGTGGCACATGCCTGTGGTCTCAGCTACTTGGGAGACTGAGGTGGGTAGATTGCTTAGACCAGGAGTTCGAGGCTGCAGTGAACTACGATTGGGTGATGGAATGATGCCCTGTCTCCTACAAGTAAAATAAATAAAATAAAATAATTTTTTTGTAGAGACAAGGTCTTGTTCTGTGTCCAGGCTGGTCTCGAATTCCTAGCCTCAAGCAATCCTCCCGCCTCAGCTTCCCAAGTACCTGAGATTACAGCCAGCTCTGGAATCATTTTTTTTTTTTTGAATCTGAGTCTCACCCTGTCACCCAGGCTAGAGCACAGTGGCACAGTCTCACGGCTACCGCAGCCTCAATCTGCTGGGCTCAGGGAATCCTTCCGCTTCTGCCTTCCAAGTAGCTGGGATTATAGGCATGTGTCACCAAGCCTGGCTAATTTTTTGATTGATTAGAGAGACGAGGTCTCGCCAAGTTGCCCAGGCTGGCCTCAAATCCCTGGGCTCAGACAATCCTCCCTCCTCGGCCTCCCAAAGTGCTGGGATAGAAGGCGTGAGCTACCGTGCTCAGCCAGGAATCTGCATTTTTAACAATCAGGCCACATGCCCTATTACCCTATTACAGGTCTGCAGACCACATTTCCAGAAGTACCATCTCAGGCAAAATAGCATTTATTTATTTAGCAAACACTTATTGAATACTTGAAATGAACATGGGAAAGTTCTTGCCTTGATGCTCTTACCAAAAAGCGAATGGGTTGGGTGCAGTGGCTCACACCTGTAATCCCAGCACTTTGGGAGGCCAAGGCATGTGCCACCATGTCAGGCTAATTTTTAAAGAATTTTATTTATTTATTTATTTTTGGTAGACATGGGTGGGGGGAGTGGGTCTCACTATGTTGCCCAGGCTGGTCTCGAACTTCTGGGTTCAAGTGATCCTCCTGCCTTGGCCTTCCAAAGTGTTGCGATTATAGGTGTGAGCCACCATGCCTGGGATTGCTTGAACCCAGGAGTCCAAGACCAGCCTGAACAACTCAGTGAGACCTTATGTTTATAAAAGGTGGTGTATGCCTGTAGTTCCAACTATTTGGGAGGCTGAGGGAGAAGGATAACCTGAGCCCAGGAGATCAAGGCTGCGGTGAGCTGTGATCATGCCACTGCACTCTAGCCTGGGTGACAGAGTGAGACCCTGACTCAAAAAAAAGACAAATGCAAATCTACACTTGGTGTAAGATCGGGGGTGTTCCATGCTATGCAGGAAAGGATAGGATATCGGAAGGCATGGAGGTCAGCAACTTTTTCCTGTACGAGGCCATATAATGAATATATCCAGCTTTGCAGGCAGGTGATCTCTGTCATAACTACCCAGCTCTGCAATTGTGACATGAAAACAGCCACAGACACATGTCAGCCCACAGGTGTGGCTTCATTCCAATACCATTTTATTTACAAAACAGGTATGATTTGGCCAGTGGGCTGTAGTTTACCAACCTCTGAAACACAGACTAAAAGGGCTTGCTGTGTTTTTTTACAATTATTATTATTATTTTCTGTGCAGATAGGGTCTCGCTATGTTGCCCAGGCTGGTCTCAAACTCCTGGCCTCAAGCGATCCTCCTGCCTTAGCCTCCCAAAATGCTGAGATTACAGTCATGAGGTACTGTGCCCAGCTGAGGTTGCTGTTTTAGAGAAGTTTCTGGTCTGGGGAGGGATGGTTTGAGGTGGTGATGGAACAAGCCAAGCAGGTGCATGGGGGAATAACATTCCAGGCAACAGAGGCAACCTGTGCAAAGGTCCTGAGGAAGGAATATATTTTTCCCATTTAAGGAATGTTAAGCGCTCTGGATTGTGTTCTAAGCATGATGGGTTTTGAGCTGGGTATGTTGAAACATTTTCCACTTATAGACTTTCTCCTTACCCCAGGGAATCACCAGAAGATTAACATATTTTTGTAGGAACTCACTGAATCTTCTCTCCTGTCCTTAGACAACCTGGCAGCTGAGCTAGAAGCCAACCTCGGCCTCATTGAAGAAATTTCGGGGTATCTAAAAATTCGCCGATCCTACGCACTGGTGTCACTTTCTTTCTTCCGGAAGTTACGTCTGATTCGAGGAGAGACCTTAGAAATCGGGTATGTGGGTCTGATTCTGCATTTGTAGTCCTGGTGCTATCTAGGATGTTTATAGATTAGAAAAAACTTAGAAGTTTGGTAAAGCAATCATCATCATCATCATGTATTGGGAGAACATGCCTTAAAAACCTTGGGAGAAAGGAACGTGTGTTGGAATGTGCCTGAAGGTTTACCTGACTGAAAAAACATAAGGGCTTTTATGGTGATTCTTGAGAAACTGAAGGGAGAGCAGCCCAACCTTTGTCCCCAACCTCCAAGGACACGGTGGTTCATGCTTGAAACCCCAGCACTTTGGGAGGCCAAGGTGAGAGGATTGTTTGAGGCCAGGAGTTTGAGACCAGCCTGGGCAACATAGCAAGACCCTGCCTTTACAAAAAATGTTAAAAATTAGGTAGGGGGCTGGGTGCGGTGGCTCAAGCCTGTCATCCCAGCACTTTGGGAGGTCGAGGTGAGGGGTCTGCCTGAGCCCACAGGTTTAAGAACAGCCTGGGCAACTTGGTGAGACCTCATCTCTATAATAAATCAAAAAATTATCTGGGTGTGGTGGTGTGTGCCTGTAGTTCCAGCTACTTGGAAGGCTGAGGCAGAAGGATTGCCTGAGCCCAGGAGGTTGACACTGGGGTGGCTGTGAGTGTGTCTCTGCACTGCAGCCTGGGTGACAGAGTAAGACTTCAACTCAAAAAAAAAAATTAGCCAGGTGTGGTGGTGCATACCTGTAGTCTCAGCTACTCAGGAGGCTGAGACGGGAGGATTGCTTGAGCCCAGAAGCTCAAGGCTGCAGTGAGCCATGATTGCACCACTGTAGTTCAGCCTGGGTAACAAAAGGAGACCTTGTCTTTAAAAAACAAACAAACAAACAAAGCTTGCCTCACTCCCAACACTGATTTCTACTTTTTATTTTCCAGAAATGGGTCATGTGTCTGCTCATTGCAAATTAGGCTGGGAGAATGAATATTTAGCTTTTCCAGGGAGGCTGAGGATGACTTTTGAGAAAGGAATACTGTATTGTGTGGGCCACCTTCTGAAAGCACTCCCTAACTTGTGTTGACTCTGCTCCTGCAAAATTGACTTTTTGCCAATGCTCAGGACTTTTACTTGGAGTGTTGCATTGCCTTCTAGCTGGGCTTTCTGGAACAAGACCAGTGCTTTCTAACAGAAAAATAATGCCAGTCACATGAGACTTTGTTCTAGTAGCCATGTTTTGGAAACTTTTTTTTTTTTTTTTTGAGTTGGAGTCTCACTCTGTCACCCAGGCTAGAGTGCAGGGGCATGCTCACGGCCACTGCAGCCTTAACCTGCTGGGCTCAGGTGATCTTTCTATCCCAGCCTTCCAAGTAGCTGAAACTACAGGCATGTGCTAACATGCCTGGCTAATTTTTTTATTTATTGTAGAGACAACGTCTCACCAAGTTGCCCAGACCCCAGGTTCAAGCAATCCTCTTGCCTCCGCTTCCCAAAGTGCCGGGATGACAGGCATGAACCACCATGCCCAGCTTTGTTTTTGAACTTTTAAAAGAAACCAATGAGATTAACTTTCCTAATGTGTTTTATTTAGCCCATTATGTCTCAAATATCATTTCAATGTGGAATCGATATTAAGAATTATCAAGCAAATCTGTTATGTCCTTTTAAGAAATGCTGTCTTCAAAAATCTGTGGTTTTTTACTGCCAGGACAGGTGGGTATGGCCACGTTTTGCGTGCTTCATGGCCACATGATATGTGGCCACTGACTTCTGTATTGAACAGAAAACTTCCCTTTTGTCCATTCATCATGTGCTGGTGGCCCACTAGTCATTCTAAAGCACCAGGTCTAATTAAGTCACTAAGGTAGGCTGGGCATGGTGGCTCACGCCTGTGATCCCAGCTACTTGGGAGGCTGAAGCGGAAGGATTGCCTCAGCCCAAGAGGTCGAGACTGTGGTCAGCCATGATCATGCCACTGCACTCCAGCCTCAGTGACAGAGACCATGACAAAAAAAGAAAAAGTCACTGAGTTGATATAAAACCTTCCATGACTCCCTTCTGCCCGAAGGGAGACTGAGGAAGGTAGTTCCTTCTTGGTCTTGGTTGGGCATGCAGTATACTTGGAGGCTTGGCCCATTGTAGCTCTCCAGCTATTTCCTGCCACCTGTTGGCCAAAGAAGGCTACTTTACTCCTCCTTGAGCCCAGCTCTGTGCCTCTGTGTCTTCAGTCTTTCCCCTCAGCAAAACCTGTGTCTCAGTTCATTGAAGTCTTTCCACCCACTCCCCTTCAAGATTGAGCTCAGCCTCCTTCCTGGCCACGAAAACGTCCTCAACTTACAGTTACCCCGATTCAACAAGTATCTACTGAGAATGTACACAGATTTTTGAAGCAAGTGGTAGGACCAGGGATGTGGCATTGAGCAAGCTTGACTCCAGGCATGTCCCTACCACCTTGTTATCCCAGTTACTTGGGAGGCTGAGGCGGGAGGATTGCCTGAACCCAGAAAGTGGAAGCTGTGGTGAATCATGATCGTGCCACTGCACTCCAGCCTGGGCAACAGAGCCAGTCCCTGCCTGAAAAAAAAAAAAATTAGTTGGGCATGGTGGTGCACACATGCTATCCCAGCTTCTCCAGAGGCTGAGGCAGAAGGATCACCTGAGCCCAAGAGGTTGAGGTTGTGGTGAGCCACAATTGTGCCACTGTACTCTAGCCTAAGCAACAGAGCCAGACCCTGTCTCAAAAAAAAAAAAAAAAAATTGGGCATGACAGCACATGCCTGTAGTTCCAGCTTCCCTGGAGGCTGAGGTAGAAGGATTACTTGAACCCAGGAGGTTGAGGTTGCAGTGAGCTGTGATCATGCCACTGCCCTCCAGCCTGGGTAACAGAGCCAGATCCTATCTCAAATAAATAAATAAATAAAAACCAGGCATGGTGGTGAATGCTGTAGTCCTAGCTTCTCTGGAGGCTGAGGCAGAAGGACCACCTGAGTCCACGAGGCTGAGGCTTTGGTGAGTCGTGATCATACCACTGAACTCTAGCTTGGGCAACAGAGTGAGACCCTGACTGAAAAAAAATTGAAACACGAAAGGCAGAAAATGCCTTGAGGGTAATGCCCGTGAGGTGTAATGGAGAGCGAACCCTTTGAGGACAGCTGTGTGGAGGCTGTTGGCATTGGAGGCCAGCTATTGGATGACTGCTGTGTGTGTGTCCCCAGGAACTACTCCTTCTATGCCCTGGACAACCAAAACCTGAGGCAGCTCTGGGACTGGAGCAAGCACAACCTCACCATCACGCAGGGCAAGCTCTTCTTCCACTACAACCCTAAGCTCTGTTTGTCGGAAATCCACAAGATGGAAGAAGTTTCCGGAACCAAGGGGCGACAGGAGAGAAACGACATCGCCCTGAAGACCAATGGGGACCAGGCATCCTGTAAGTGACCCACAGCCCAGACCCTGTGGCTGTCCTCCCTCTCCCCATCCACCACGCTGGCTCCCAGGGGTTGAGGGTGGGTGTTGCCATCCCCTGGGGGGACTACAGCAACTCAGTACAGTGACCTGTGTTGTGTGACAGGCTTTCTTACCAAGGATAGGCTTTGTACGTCTTGTCACTGTGCTTGTTGCATCAGATGCAGTGTCTGACACTGATGATGTCATATAAGCACTGCATGAATGAATGAATGAATGATGAATGAATGAATGATACCTCCTTATATATGTATCAGGCCCAGTGCTGATGCTGAGGGGTTCATAGTTGAGTCAAATGCCGGTGTCAGCCTTCATCTTCTGGGAAGCAAATGCCAAACTGGTGTTAGAAGTGCAGAAAATGAGGCTGGGTGCGGTGGCTCATGCCTGTAATCCCAGCCTTTAGGGAGGTTTAGGCAGGAAGATTGCTTGAGGCCAGGAGTACGAGACCAGCCTAGGCAACACAGTGAGACCCAATCTGAAATACAATACAATTAAATTACAATTTGAGGCTGGGCTTGGATGGCTCATGCCTATAATCCCAGCACATTAGGAGGCTGAAGCAAGAGAATCGCTTGAGTCCAGGAGTTTGAGACCAGTCTGGGCAACATAGTGAGAACTTATCTGTACAAGAAATTTAAAAAATAGCTAGGCATGGTGGTACCCACCTGTAATCTCAGATACTTGGGAGGCTGCAGTGGGAGGATCGCTTGAGCCCAGGAGATCAAGTCTGTGGTGACCCAGGATTGTGCCATTGCACTCCAGCCTGGGTGACAGAGTGAGACCCTGACTCCAAAAAAAAAAAAAAAAGAAAATTGAAAAAAGAGGTGCAGAAAATGTATTGAGGGTAATACCCATGAATTATAACAGAGAGAGAGAGAGAGAGCCTTCTGAGGACAGTGTGGCTCAGACCTCTGATCAGAGAGAGGGGAGGGAAGGAAGGCAGGCAGAGTTGGAAGAGCCTCAGGACAGCCTCCCTGGGGGTCTTGGCCAGACCCAGAGGGAACTACAAGGTTACCCTCCACTGTAGAGGAGTCATACACTGGGTAGAAACCACCAGGTCCCGGTTGACCATAGTCCTGGCTGGAGGCAGCCCTGGGGGAGTCAGGCTCTTCCCGCAACTAGAGATTGGCTGCTGGCTGCCCTTCCCTGACAAAGTTGAGCAGGGCACTGCAGGGGGCTTTAGTAACATGGCCATGGGGAGTTACTTCCTTAGGACAAACCAATTCGGGAACAGAAAACCAAACACCGCATGTTCTCATGTGTAAGTGGGAGCTAAACTAAGGACCTGCAAAGACAGAGAATGGTATAATGGACACCGGAGACTCAAAGGGGAGGGGGGGGAGAGATGGAGTATCAAAAAATTACCCATCGGGAACCATGTGCACAGATGGGGGTGGTGGATGCACTTGAGGTCCAGACTGCTTTGCCACTGTGCAGTTGTTTTTTGATGTGTTAATGATGGTGGGCTGGATAAAGAAAATGTGGTACATCACATGAAGAAATATTATGCAGCCATAAACAAGGACAAAATTATGGAGTTTGCAGCAACTTGAGATGGATTTAGAGTCCATCATACTCAGTGATCTATCACAGAAACAAAAACTGAGTACCACAGGCTCTCGCTTATCAGCGGATCCTGGACATTTATTACAATCATACAAAGAGAGGGATCAGCAGTCATGCGACACTGTCAGGGGAGGGGAAGTGAGGACCAGTAGGAGGCCCAAACCTCACCTGCACTTAGACGTACCCCACATCTTTACAATAAAATAAAGGAAAAAAAGATACAGTGCAACCACATAACCAAACACTATTTGTACCCTCCCCCCAAGCTACTGAAATAAGGAAAACAAGAAACATAGCCCGAGAAGAGAACGAGGTTGGGATGGCACTTAGAGGAAGGTTTGCACCCCAGGCTCAGGGAGTGACTCCATGAGTCTCTCCAGAGTTTAATGAGCTGCAGGCTGTCTACACATGAGTTCATCTGGCACCGGTTTGTTTGCATGGGAGTTGCAGCCTCTGCCACGTCAGGCTTGCAAGTCCAAGTACAAGACAACATTGTATCAGGGCAAATGTTCCTCTGGGATAGCCCCCTTTGCCAGTAACGTTGGACTTTGGACTTTGGTGGGCACGGATTGCGCTTACTTGGCTGTCTGGTCAAGTGGCCAAGTTGCATGACTAGTTATTGTGGTTTTTCTGTTTGTTTCTTTTTGAGTCGGGGTCTCATCTCACTCTGTCACCCAGGTTGGAGTGCAGTGGCACGATCACGGCTCACCACAGCCTTGACCTCCTGGGCTCCGGTGATCCTTCTGCCTCAGTCTCCTGAGTAGCTGGGACTACAGGCATGTGCCACCATGCCTGGCTAATTTTGGGGGTGGGGTAGAGTCAGGGGTCTTGTGTGGTTGGCCAGGCTGGCCTCAAACTCCAGGCCTCAGCAATTCTCCTGCCTCATGTCCCTAAGTGCTGGGATTACAGGCGTGAGCCACTGTGCCCAGCCTGATTCTTGCTTTTAATCTCTCCCATTCACACTTAGCGAGGCTCAAGGGGACAGGACCCCTGATGGGAGCAACAGAATGACCCGTCCTTCTCACAGCCCCGCAAGGACATTTGGGACCACATGCTTTGGCCTGAAACTGACTATTTAATACTGATGTTACCTGTTGTGTGTGTGTGTGACTTTTTTTTTAGGTGAAAATGAATTACTTAAATTTTCTTCCATCCGGACAACGTCTGACAAGATCTTGCTGAAATGGGAGCCGTACTGGCCCCCAGACTTCCGAGACCTCTTGGGGTTCATGCTGTTCTACAAAGAGGCGTGAGTAGAAGAGGGAAGAGTTAGGCCCCCCCATGGGGATGGGGGCTGACAGCTTCTTGCTTGCTGCTCTTGTGCACAGACCTTCCTCCCTGGGTCCTCCTTCCTCCTACTCCTCGGGGAATAAATACCTTAGGCCCCTTTTCGCAATCTTACCAGCTGATGGTGTGCAAAGTCAACAACATCCCCTTTGTCAAAAGCCTGAATGGAAGCAGACAGCTTTCCTTTGGTAATCTGAATTGGCCAATTTCCTAGAGCAATATTCCATTTCCCATCTGTCCGTCTCGTCAGACCTCAACAACCAGGAGCTCATGTTCCTGTGTAGGTTTTAAAAAATGTACTAGCCGGACTTGGTGGCTCAGCCTGTAATCCCATGCTTTGGGAGGCTGAGGTGAGTGGATTGCCTGAGCCTGTGGGTTCGAGACCCACCTGGGCAACTTGGCAAGACCTCATCTCTACAATAAATAAAAAATTAGCCAGGCATGGTAGCACGTGCCTGTAGTTCCAGGTACTTGGAAGGCTGAGGCGGAAGGATCGCTGGAGCCCGGCAGGTCGAGGCTGCAATGGCCAGGAGTGTGCCACTGCACTCCAGTCTGGGCAACAGAGTGAGACTCTAACTAAAAAAAAAAAAAATTGTACTGTGGATCTATTTTTTTTCCCAACTTTGTTTTGATTGTGGTAAAATAGACATAAAAGTTACCATCTTTACCATTTTTTTTTTTTAAACAGGGTCTTACTCTTACATCCAGACCAGAGTACAGTAGTGTGATCATAGCTCACCGCAGCTCTGACCTCCTGGGGTCAGGAGATTCTTCCACCTCAGCCTCTCAAGTAGCTGGAAGTACAGGCGAGTGCCACCATACCCAGCTAATTTTTTTGTTTTGTAGAGATGAGGTTTTGTCATGTTGTCCAGGCTGGTCTTGAACTCCTGGGCTCAAGCAATCCTCCTGCCTCAGCCTCCCAAAGTGCTGGGGTTACAGGAATGAGCCATTGTGCCTATCCCCAAATCTGAAACCTTTTGGGCACTAACATGATGCTCACAAGAGATACTCTTTGGAGCATTTCTGATATTGGACTTTTGAATTACACATGCTCAGCTGGTATGGATAATGGAATTATTTCAAAATCCAAAAAACTCTGAAATCCGAAACAAGCATTTTAGATAAGGGATACACAATCTGTGTTGTACTGCTAAGATGTCATGATTGGGGGTTCTTTGCTTTTTGATAGTTCCCATCATTTTTTCTCATGCTGCGATTATTGAGTGAACACAATGCAGCCCTGTAAGATGTAACGTCCCAGGACCCATCTTTGCGGTGCTCAGGGCAATGTTCTCGTCATGGTAACCACCTTCCCATTTTGTCTTAAAAGCCCTTATCAGAACGTTACGGAATTCGACGGGCAAGACGCATGTGGCTCCAACAGCTGGACTGTGGTGGACATTGATCCACCCCAGAGGTCCAACGACCCCAAGTCACAGAACCACCCTGGGTGGCTGATGAGGGGTCTCAAACCCTGGACCCAGTATGCCATCTTTGTCAAGACCTTGGTCACCTTTTCTGATGAACGCCGGACCTACGGGGCCAAGAGTGACATCATTTATGTCCAGACAGATGCCACCAGTGAGTGAATAATAATTTGTGTGTGAATCAGATCTCTTGCCCTTAATGGGCCCACACAGTGAGATCCTATGAAATGCCCCTTTGTGGGGTTATTGGCTTTTAAAGGAGTTGGGTATGGAGGCCTGTATTTTCAGAAGATCAGGCAGGAGCAACAAGCCACTCGAGGGGAAAATATATCTTTTCCATCCTGTTATAAAACACTTTCAGATATTCACAACATAAAAAGAAGGATCCCCTTGCAGTCACTTCCCAGCTCCAACTTTTGGCCAATTTTGTTTTTATCTCTTCCTTCCCTCTTTCCATTTGTTACTTTTGAAGGAGGATTAGAGTTTTTCATAGCAACTTAATTTTTTATTTTTTGAGACAGCGTCTGTCTCTCTCACCCAGGCTGGAGTGCAGTGGCATTATCACAGCTCACCTCAGTCTCGACCTCCTGGGCTCAGGGGATCTGAGCCTTCTGAGCAGCTTATACTAAAGGCACGAGGCACGTGTCACCACACCTAATGTTTATATTTTGTGTAGAGATGAGGTCTTGCTATGCTGCCCAGACTGGTCTCGAACTCCTGGCCTCAAGCAGTCCTCCCACCTCAGCCTCCTAAAGTGCTGGGATTGCAGGTGTGAGCCACTGTACCTGACCAGCAATTTAGATATATTTTTATAAAACCTAAGTACTTCTATAGCAATAGTTCTCAAACGGGGTGATTCTGCCCCCAACCCTGGGGGACATTTGGCAACGTCTGGAGATATTTCTGGTTGTCACAGCTGGGGAAATGATGCTACTGGCATTTAGCAGGTGGGAGCCAGGGATGCCGTTCATTGCCCTACAATGATCAGAACGTACCCCTGCACCCACTACAAAGAATGATCTGGCCCCAGATGTCAGTGAGAAGCCCTGTCCTATAGGATCGTGGCCAAACTACATCAATAAGCCCCAGTGTCTTCTGCTGGGCCTCTCATTCCTTATCCTCTAGAAATATCAAAAGGTTTACAGTTTACGGAAACTTGCAGCTTCCAGGTCTTTGTGCCCTCTCCTCCCCCAACGCCCTCAACCACCTCTGTTCTTGAGGGAAAGGTTTTGTAGAGCCCCATGGGGGTTTTTTTTAGGGAATGTTGGATGCCAATGCTATGACCTAGGGGCTTCAAGTCTGCCCTGTGACTGGGCTCCATTTGGGGCAAATGCTAACTGGAAAACATGAGTTTACTGGTCTCTTCCCACAATCCTCTTTTCTCAGTGGCATCTTTCCAGAACAGAGAGAGCTCATAGCACACAGTCAAAGCCTGGTTGTGTTTACAGTTACATATGAGGAGGGTCTAAAAAAAACCCTGGAATTATCTTTTGGAAGGTGGGCCCCTTGTAGTACAGGCTTCCTTTGCTAGGTGGGTGTTTTAGGAACCCATCGGCATCCATGTACCAGTGAGCATTGTTGTGTGAGAGGCTGCGTTCAGCTTCAGTGAATTTTTTTTCAAGATTCTTTCAACGCATTTGCCCATTTCATGATAAGTGATTTACAAGCACACCATGCTGATTTACATATTCACACCATGCTGAGTGTTCAGCAGTTTTTGACCAAAAGTGCCATGGCTCCTGTGCTCCACCCTCCCTATTTACCCAATCTCACCCTGAGTGACTTTTTTTTGTTTCCTCGGATGAAAAAAAGTCCTCAAAGGGAAATGTTCTGCCGATGTGGAAGAGGTGAAACAAAAAACGGCAGAAGCGCTAAAAGGCATTAAAATCGATGAGTTCAAAATTGTTTTGAGCAGTGGAAAAAGCATCTTGATAGGTGTATTGCATCACACAGAAAGTACTTTGAAGGTGACTAAAGTGTAAACATGTAAGAAGAAAGACACAATTTTTTGTAAATAAATTCCTGGTTTTTTGGGTTCCCCTTGTAATCTGTGGTAGCAATGGACCCATAGTTTGATAGCCCATGCCCCAAATGGGCAAGCATTCCTTGTGTCTTTAGTTTTCTCTGATGTTAAGTAACACAGCAGTGAACATCCCCATGGTTCCCGGAGCGTGAGGTCCCTTCCCTCCTCATGCCCACCTGATGACTTGCATACAACTCCCTCATGGTGGCTTCCTTCCTTTCTCCTTTGCAGATCCCTCCGTCCCCCTGGACCCAATCTCGGTGTCTAATTCCTCCTCTCAGATTATTTTGAAATGGAAGCCCCCCTCCGACCCCAATGGCAACATCACCCACTACTTAGTCTTCTGGGAGAGGCAGGAGGAAGACAGTGAGCTGTACGAGTTGGATTATTGCCTCAAAGGTGAGTGCAGGGAGCCGTGCTGGGATCCGTGGGGTTTGGGCACACACGCCTGACCACTTTGCTTCACTTCTACGGTGCACCTCTCCCCCACCTTCTCAGTGTCAGCACGCACGTGCACGCATTGTGTCTCATAGGAAAACACACACATCTTTAAATCTCGTTACACAAGTGCACACTCTGAAGATTGCTGTTAAAACCCATGTCTTGGCACCATTTTCCTCTGGAAGTTTCTTCTCTTCCTCCCCCTCCCTTCCTTCTCTCTGTCTTCATCCTCCTCTTCTTCCCCCCTCTCACTGATGCGGACATCTGTGCAGAGCTAGAAACACAGCCGATCATGTTGAGAAGTTATTGACAAAGTCAGGGAAGGATATGGGCCCCGCTAAGGCACGATCACCACTTTCTGCAGCCTTGACCTTCTGGGCTCAGGCAGTCCTCCCTCCTCAGCCTCCTGAGTAGCTGGGACTACAGGCATGGCCACCATGCCTGGCTTTTTAAACATTTTTTGGTAGAGATTGAGGTCTTGCTATGTTGCCTATGTTGGTCTCCAACTCCTAGCCTCAAGCAATCCTCCCACCTCGGCCTCCCTAAGTGCTACGATTACAGGCCTGAGCCACCGCACCCAGACTAAGACTCTTTAGTTGTAAGGGTCAAAGACAGCAAGGAGAAATCATCTCCTATACCCCTCCTGTACTTGCAAGTAAAAATTTATACTAATGATGATTTTTTAGAGTCTTAATCTTATTTACTTAATGGGCTTCCATCCATGTGAAGGAAAGTAGACAAATAGTTGAAATGTCAAACTAGTGTGTATAGATTAATTTAAAATTATTTTATCAGCCTGATGTGGTGGTGCACACCTGTCATCCAGCTACTTGGGAGGCTGAGGCTGGAGGATCGCTTGAGGCCAGGAGTTTGAAGCTGCAATGAGCTGTGATCACACCATTGTACTCCAGTGTGGGCAACAGAGTAAGACTCTGTCTCTAAAAGTAATAATAATAATAATAATAGTGACAGTATCTTTTTTTGTCTTAATCTTGTTTATTTAAGAAGCCTGCATTCATCTGAAGGAAAATCAAAAAATATTTGAAGTTTCAAACTAGTTTGTATATATTACATTAAAATTATTTTATTTTATTTTATTTATTTATTTTTGTTTGAGTTGGAGTCTCACTCTGTCGCCCAGACTGGAGTGCAGTGGCCGCTCCTGGCCACCGCAGTCTCGACCTGCTGGGCTCCGGCGATCCTTCCGCCTCAGCCTTCTAAGTAGCCGGAATTATAGGCATGCGCTACCACACCCGGCTGATTTTTTGATTTATTGTAGAGATGAGGTCTCGCTGCCCAGGCGGGTCTCGAACCCACGGGCTCAGGCAATCCACTCACCTCAGCCTCCCAAAGGCACGGGATTTTGCTGAGCCACCGAGCCCGGCTACATTAAAACTATTTTAAAACTGGATTAAAAAAACAAACCCAACATCAAACCAGCGACGCAGCAGCCATTTTTTTTTCTTTAGTGGTGGTTTGCTTTGATATCATTTTCTTGAGATATTTTCAATTAGGGGCAGTATCCTCAGCCCATGACCTTGGAGGAGCAGGCCAGGGGGCCACTGGCAAGGCGACATCTGCTTTTGGCTCGGGCCCTGACTTGCTGTAGGGCTTTGGCCAAGTCACCGAGCAAGGCTCTGTCTGCCTCCTTTTTGGGAGAGGAGGCGGGAGGACAGATGATCTCTGGGCGCTGTCCCAGCTCTAAGATCATGTGCTATATGTACGCCTGTGACATCATCCCTGCCTGAGCCTGGGGTTGCAAACGTGATTTATCTCCTCAGATGCTTTATATAACTCCAGAGCGAGCCCAGGCACCAGCTCTTGAGAGCTGCTGGCCTTTGCATTCGAGCAACTGAATTCAATCCCCCTCCAGTGCTGCCATCAGCAACATCAGTCAAAGCTTTTTTTCTTTCTTTTCTGAAAGTTTAAGCCTCTAATTATCATGCGACTGTTTAGACATGGTTTTATTTGCATCACAAAGTTCATGTAATTAAAAGTAAACTTACTAAGGACAAATTCTGTGTGATCCCACTCTTGAGATGTCCCTAGAGTTGTCACATTCACAGAGACAAAGTATCGTGATGGGAGCCAGGGGCTGGGAGGGGGATGGGAAGTGAGTGTTTCCTGGGGTCAGAGTTTCCATTTGGGAAGAGGAGAAAGTTCTGGAGATGATGACGGTGATGGCTGCACAACTATGCGAATGTGCTTCATGCCCCTGGACTGTGCATTGAAACATGGTGAAGATGGGAAATTTTATGTGATATTTATTTTACCAAAATTGAAAACACATATATACTGGCCAGTCAGGCCAATAGTCTCAGCAATTTGGGAAGCCAAGGCCGGAAGATTGCTTGAGCCCAAGAGTTTGAGACCAGCCTGGGCAACACAGTGAGACCTTGTCTCCAAATGTCTGTAAATCAATCAATCAATCAATCAATAAATCTCAAAATAAATAAATAAGCAAATAAAACACGCAGAATAAATAAGCTGCTAAGTTCAAGACTTGGAGACCAACTGGGCAACATAACAAGACCTCATCTCTAGATAGATTAGATAGACAGACAGATAGATAGATAGATAGATGGATAGGTCTTTAAATAAATAGAGAAAAACACAAAATAAATAAGCTTACTAACCATGACCAGTAGTAGTTGCCTATTAGTATCCCTAGTGTGTATGTCTTTTTGTGTGTGTGGCAAAATATACATCACATAAAATATTGTTTTAACCATCTTTAAGTGCACAGCTCAGCAGCATTAAGCACACTCACGTGGCTGCGTAACCATCCATCACCACCATCGTCTCTAGAACTTTCTCCTCTTCCCACCTGGAGACTCTGTCCCCATGACACACTCACTGCCCGTCCCCTCCCCAGCCCCTGGCACCCACCATGCTGCTTCCTGTCTCTGTGGATCTGATGACTCTGGGGACTTCATTATGCCTCAGAAAAACCATGAGGCATCACACTTCATGCAATAGATGCTAGAATGAGGTAGTAGGTACCAGGAATGATACCTGTGCTGGATCAAACATTCCTTCCCCTCTAGAAAAATATCAGCAGCCTCTCTTACTAGGGCAGTTTTGTATTTTTCTTCCATCCGTGAGGCTGAGAACAGCTCCCCTTGGGGTTAACCCCGCCAGGTTATTCTGTCTATTCATAAATGTCAGAAGCATTTCCTGGAGTCTCTCGTAGGCTTTTAAAGCTATACAAACACTTGGGCTTCCAAGTAGATACTCGCCATTCATGGGAAGGTACTTGATACACTCACTTAGAGCCTATTGTCTACATAGAGACATTAAGGGGAGGGGGGAGAAGGTATTTCTTTTGCTCAAGTAGACCAGGCACAGAGCGGGCTGGCGGCAGACAGAGTGGACCTGAGGGAACCGCCATGGGTTTTGCCCATAAAGAGTTATATCCATCCTCCTGGCTGGACAAGAGGCTGGCTGGGCTCATGCCATGGGTCGCAGGAGTACCTGGGCTTTGACCTCCAGAGTCAAAATGCAGCTAGCTGAGGTACTTAAACACAGCTTTATATTTTTGATGTTCTCTCTTTTAAAAAAATTTTTTTCATATATTTCTTTACTCTGTCACCCAGGTTTGGAGTACAGGGGTGCGATCACAGTTCACTGCAGCCTCCAACTCCTGACCTCAAACGATCCTCCTGCCTTGGCCTCTCAATGTGTTGGGATTAGAGGCATGAGCCACTGTGCCCAGTGAGGTTTTATTTTTGAGCCAAGACTCTGTCTTGGCCCGTCCACTCTGAGAAGGCCTCCTTTGCTGTGTGTGTGTGTGTGTGTGTGTGTGTGTGTGTGTGTGCGCGCGCGCGCGCGTGCACGTGCACGCACTTGTTGTTGGAGAAACTTGAGCCTCCTTCTCTTCTCTGCCTTCCTGTAGGGCTGAAGCTGCCCTCCCGCACCTGGTCTCCACCATTTGAGTCTGAGGATTCCCAGAAACACAATCAGAGTGAATATGAGGAGTCCGCTGGTGAATGTTGCTCCTGCCCAAAGACCGACTCCCAGATTCTGAAGGAGCTGGAGGAGTCCTCATTCAGGAAGACGTTTGAGGATTATCTGCACAATGTGGTGTTTGTCCCCAGGTTAGGACTTGACAGGGCCCTGGGCTCCCTTAGTGGGTGTCAATTGTCTTGGCATGGGAGGGGGCAGTATTTAGCGACAAAGTAGGACCCAGAGACCACAGAAGGGTGGGCGGGGTCTGAGTAGGACCTTTTTCTGGGTGGAGGGCGAGATCTTCTGATCGCCATGGCAGCCTTATCAGGAAGAGTAAATAATCTCACAAAAGAGGAAACTGACAAAATTCAACACTCCTTACCTCTCCAGAGCTGGCCTCTCTACCTGAATTCTGAAACAAACTCCATTAGATCCTTGAGATAAATCCTGAGAAATGTCTGCCTGCCACCCGTGCTTGAGTTACCGCTGAGTCTTAAACTCTGTATTCTTAATCTTCTGGAACATCCGACAGCATCCTCTCAAAACCTGGAGGTTTCTCCTACTTAAATATATTGAATTTCTTTTAGTGACTGAAGGAGTGACCTGATGAGGTACATCTGACTGAGAGGGTTGGTGGCAAAAACTACTCTAAGGCCGGGCATGGTGGCTCACACCTGTAATCCCAGCACTTTGGGAGGCTGAGGCAGAAGGATTGCTGGAGGCCAGGAGGCAGTGAGCTATGATTGTGCTACTGCACTCCAGCCTGGAGTGCAAGACCTTGTCTTTTAAAAAAGTATCTGTTCAAATGTCTACCAATGCTATTTACCCAGGTACCTTTTTTTCCCCTTCCTTTTCTTTCTTTCTGGCATTCTTTCCCTATGACCTTGAGTCCAAAAGACCATTCAAGGTCCAGTCCGGGCATCAAAACAGTTACTATCTTGCCCATTAAAAAAATGCTGACCAGGCATGGTGGCTCACAACCTGTCATCCCAGCACTTTGGGAGGCCGAGGCGGGAGGATAGCTTGAGCCCAGGAGTACGTGACCAGCCTGGACAACATAGCGAGACCCCCAACTCAAGAAAACACAACAAAACGCTGCTGGGCTTGGAGAAATGGCTGGGTCAGTTGTGATATCAACGTGTAGTCAAATTGGACATCCCCGGGGAACCCCAGCAGGCCAAGTCTTTGGGGAGAATTTTCTCTGAATTCCCCCCCCTCCTCTTGCTGGATTTCCTGCACCTGCTGGGGAAGCGTGGTCCCTTCCCTCCTTCAAGTGATCCCAGCGCATGGCCCAGGCTCAAAGGCAGGGTGCTCTTGCTTGGACGGAACACGGCCTCCAACCAGGGTGTCGGAGTCAGCACGTTCTGTCTGTCCTCAAAGCCGTCGGTTTTGTTTTTACAGAGAAACCTCTCCAGGCACAGGTGCCGAGGACACTAGGTACGACTCACCTGTGCGCCCTGTGGGGCTGCTCGGGGCAGGGGCAGAGGGCTTGCTGTGCGCCTTGGAGAGTCCGGGGCTTTCTCTGTCGTCAGTTGCATGCGACAGGCTGCTGTGCTGGAGACCAGATGCTTCACAAATTAAACGTCTTCGCTCTGAAATGGGATCTGGGTTTGGATGTGGGGGAAAAATCTTAACTAACACGCTCTTCTTTAAAACATAGCATCACAGGAGCACTTCTGGGGTACGTCCTCCCTGCACTGCGGGAGTACTTCCAGGGCACATCCTTTGCGTGTGTTGCGGGATCACTTCCGGGGCGTGCCCTCCGTGCGATCCTGGAGCACCGAAGGCGCGTCCTCCCTGCGTCCCGGGAATATTTTCTGGGCACATCCTTCCTGCGACCCGGGAGCACTTCCGGGGCACGTCCTCCCCGCCTCAGATGGGCCCCACGTTCTCTCTCTGCGTATCTGTCTGCATCTCCTGCCCGCGTTCGCAGAACCGTGCCGGGCGCAGCTCCTGAAGATTGTTCTGGAAGCAGAACGTATTTATCTGGGGTGACACGCTGTGAACAGAGGAATATGAGGTGGCTCCCCGCCTGCCACGGAGGAGAATCGGGGTTGTTTCCCTTCCACTCGTTTCTTAGAGAACGAAGGGGGTGGAGGCCCGGAGGGGAGGACCGAGCTGGGAGAACTCCGGGAAAGGCAGAAAGATGGGATGAGTCGGGAGCGCTGGGTGGGAACAGGAGGTGAGACTAGAAGGGCCCACGGGGGGGGGGTCCCCTCCAGGGAGAGAAGGGCTTTCCTTCCTCTGACAGTGTGTGTTTGTTTATTTTCCTCCAGGCACCTGTGTGGCCTCATCTGACCTCTGGTGGCCGCGAGGAATATAATCCGTAGTAAAGAAAGGTCTAGGAATGTGTGGCCTCGGTCCTGTTGACATTTGGGGCCAGGTCATTCTCTCGGCTGGGGCCGTCCTGGCCCTGCAGGGCGTTGGGCAGCGTCCTTGGCCTCCATTCATTTGATGCCAGGAGCGCACACGCGTCCCCAGGCAGTGATCACCAAACACGTCCTTAGATATTGCCAACCCCCCCCCCCCCAGGCGGAGGCAGAAAGTCATCCGGCCTGGTTGAGGCTTGACGCTATGGCTCACGCCTGTCACCCCAACACTTTTGGTTGGAGGCCGAGGCGGGAGAATCACTTGAGCCCAGATTTCTGGGACCAGCCTGGGCAACATGGCGAGACCTCATCTCTGCAATAAATCAAAAAATTAGCCGGGCATGGGGGGCGCACGCCTGTAGTCCCAGCCACTCGGGCGGCCGAGGCTGTGGTGAGCCGTGATCGTGCCACTGCACTCCAGCCTGGGTAACACAGCAAGACCCCAACTCATTAAAAAAAAAAAAGTGCCACCTCTGGTTGAAAATAGTGGTTGGTTGCGGGATTGTTGGATAATAAAATGCTGCCCGTGTAGGGAGTGGAAGTTTAAATGAATGCGCCATCGTAAGGGTCTTTTATGACCGCTTTATGGGCTTTTTGGATATCATCCTTTTGGAATGCATTTACCCATTTGGCCTGTTTGATGGGACCACTTTACACCTCTGGTTGTGCAGATACCAGTTTCTCAGCGGCTATGCATAAGGAGGCCCCTGCAGAGTTCATTTATGTCCCTTCAGAAATGAACATGGACGTGTCTTTGGCTTGATAAGTGGTGGAGCTGTTTTCTTTTCCATCCAAGAATGTTGTTGGTCTTTTCCTACAAAAAGAGCACAGAGGAAATCTTAGTGAGTACCTCCCAGAGCAGGATTTGTTTTGTGGCCACACATTTTCTGACAATAGTGCAATAAAGACTTTAAGGTTAACTTCCAAAGCTTGAACAGAAAATTCTACTCCTTGGTGGTTAAAAGTCAATCAAGTTGGGCGCGGTGTCTCACACCTGTAATCCCAGCAGGAAGGATAGATTGAGCCCAGGAGTTCGAGACCAGCTGGGCAACTTGACGAGAACTTGGCTCTATGACAAATCAAAAAAATTAGCTGGGCGTGGTGGTGTGTGCCTGTAGTTCCAGCTACTTGGGAGGCTGAGATGGAAGGATCACCTGAACCCAGCAGGTTGGGGCTGTGATGGCCATGAGCATGTCATTGCACTCCAGCCTGGGCGACAGAGGGAGAATTTCAAGTAAAAAAAAAAAAAATAAATAACTTAAATATCTATTGGGTTAAAGTGGAAGTTGAAATTCTCATCAAAGTTGATTTGGAAAAATAATGAACATGTGAATATCACATACCTTAACTTGTAGGATATTGCCAAAACTGGACTTTGATGCAAATTAGCAGACTTAAACAGATTCCCAAATTAAGACAGTAACTAAAAAATATAAAAATATAAGTGTGTTACAGAGGAAGGTGGAAATCAATAATAGCGAACCCTGTGGTAAATGTTTAAGAGAAAAAACACAACTAGAAGGAAAGAAGGTGACGGAACTAGACTGAAGAAAATTGCAATATGTTGAGTTCTCTGGACAACTGTGTGCTGATAAAAGTTTCAGTTAGAAGGAGAACTTTTGTCTAAATAGATTAAAAAAGAAGCAGAAAAACTAAGTATTTCAGTAGCTTCAGAAAAAGATATGAGTCCATTTCCTCCAAAAAGTTCCCAGGCCCAAAGAGTTTTATAGATGAGTTTTTCAGACTCCAAAAGAGCAACTATTTTCTATAAGATAGAAGCTATTCTAGAGCATAGAAATCTGAAGATTATCCCAGTTTATTTCATGAAACTAATACCCTCAGTAGAAGTGCCCTGAAAGGAAACCACAGCCCAAGCTAATATGCGACTTTAGATCCAAATGTCCCAAATAAAACATTGTACTGGCAATGTATTTTATCTCCAAAATGCAAGGATACTTTAAGATAATATCAGCTATTTCTTCAAGAGGCCCATTAAGGAAATCTTATAATCTTATGCAATAGTTACATTAATTAAAATGTCTAACTTAGAGAAAGGAGGAAAGAAGAGGCTGCCTATAAAAATAGGGCTAGAATGCTTCTTTAACAAGACAAATATTACCTACAAGATAAATATGAAACCAACAGCCATGCTAACATCATTGTAAAAATTACTTTTATTAGGCTGGGCATGGTGGCTCATGCTTGTCATCCTAGCACTTTGAGAGGCCAAGGCAGGAGGACAACTTGAGGCCAGCAGTTCAAGACCAGCCTTGGCAACATAGTGAGACACTGTCTCTACAAAAGAATTTTTAAAAAAGCTGAGTGTGGTGGTGTGCACCTGAATACTAGCTACTCAGGAGGCTGAGGCAGGAGGATCACTTAAGTCCAGGAGTTTGAGGCTGCAGTGAGCTATGATCATGTCACTGCACTCCAGTCTGGGTAATAGAGCAAGACCTTGTCTCTGAATATATATATTTAGAGTTAGGAACAAACAAGAATGCCTTGTGTCAACATTACTGATTAACATTTCTCTGGGCATCTTGTCAATGCAATAAGACATGGAACAAATTGTAATAGTAAAAAAATGGAATGTGGAAAATAAAATCATTGATATTTACAAGTAGTCTAGTCTAAGGGTGGGCTGGTCCTTAGGTCATCTGCCTGACTTCATAAATGAACTTTTGTTGGAATGCAACCACACCCACTTGTTTACCTATTATCTAGGACTGCTTTAAGCTACAGTAACAGAGTTGAGTAGTTATGACAGAGGTCACTTGGTCTGCAAAACCCAAAATATTTATCATCTAGCCCTTTACTGGAAAAGTTTGCTGACCCATTTTCCAGCATGTTTATTGGAAACCCAAAAAAATCAATTATGAAACTTTTAGAAGGCGTTAGAGTTTGGGGAAGTCAGTATAACAGAAGTAAGCAAAAGTCAGTGGATATACTAGCCAGTAATCAGACTATGAAATAGGGGAAAATATTCCTTTTATAGTTGCCATAAAACCTTAGTACGCTTCACAATAACCCCAGCTAGAATTACCTGTAAAGGAATAAGTACAAAATATATTACTAATATATATGATTTTACAGATACATGTGAGAGGCTTTCAAATCATTTGAAGAAAGGTCACCATTCACAGCAACTTGGATGGATTTAGAGTCTGTCATACTCAGCAATCTATCACAGAAACAAAGAAGAGAGTATCACATATTTTCCCTCATAAGCAGACCCTGAACATTTACCATAATACTATAAAAAGTATTATTAGGTTACTGCTGGGGTGGGGGTGGGGACACAGCATCAATAAGGGTACCTGATCTCAAACCAGGCAAAGTGGGGACCAATGGGTGGCCCAAACTTTACCTGTATGATGTCTACTTACATACCTAATCCTGAATTGTACCCCACATCTTTAAAATAAATACAAAAAATAAAAAAGACTTCTTCAATTAATGCATATAAAAAAGTTACTTTGTCCTAGTATAATGATTCCTGACCAAAAAAACCAAAAAAACAACTCACCAGCAAATGGCAAATGGTAACTTGTACCTCATGCTAAATAAAGGGTTAGTATCCTTAGTGAATAAACAACTCAAGAGCAGCAATAAGGAAAGCACTATAAATTCATGGAAAATGGGCAAAGGATCAGAAGGAATAATTCCCTGGAGAACAGAATCAATAAAAGAAAAAGGAACTGGACAACATAGCAAGGCCCTGTCTCAACAAAAACACCCTGTCTCTACAGAAAACTCTGCAGTATCAAGATCTGCAACTAAAACATCAGGTGATGGCATATTTTTAATTTCTGGAAAAACAAAAAAAGGAACGTCTAAGCCTCAGGGTTGCTGAGTCTGTCCTAAAATGCAGTCACATGGTGATGAGACAGACCCCAAGTCGATACAAAGTTTCCTGACAACAATTTATCCATATCTATCAAGAAGCTTAGAGGGTTTCATAGCTCCTTGAACTTAGTGATGTTTTCTTCTAGGAATCTACTCTGGGGCACTCACAAGACAATCAATGATCAAAGCAGTGTTTATAGTAGCAAAAAAAGAGAAGAATATTCATAGAAAAAAACAGGAGATGGTTAAGTAAGTGGTGGTTCATGCAGTAAATGGGATATTTTACAGCTATTAAATGTTTTCCAAGTTTTCTTCAAGGTGCATGTGATATTTTTGTAATTGATGGGGAAAAACCCTAACATGAGAAAAATCCTGTCTCACAATATTGTGTTGTAAGAAAAATATTTCAAGAATGCTTCTAATATAACAAGTAAACAAAATGGGTTATAAAACTGGCTTGATACTAATCATTACTCACACATGATTTTTGTTTTGTTTTGTTTTGAGTTGGGGTCTCACTCTGTCATCTAGACTGGAATGCAGTGGCACAATCATAGCTCACCACAGCCTCGAAATCCTGGGCTCAAACCATCCTCTTTCTTCAGTCTCCTGAGTAGCTGGGACCACAGACACACACCACCATGCCTGGCTGATTATTTATATTTTTATTTTTTGTAGAGACAAGTTTTCACTATGTTGCTCAGGCTGGTATAGAACTAATTTTTAAAAATTTTTTTGTAGAGATGACATCTTGTTATGTTGCCCAAGTTGGTCCCAAACTCAAGCAATCCTCCCATCTCAGCCTCCCAAAGTGCCAGGATTACAGGCTTGAGCCACCATGCCCGGCTCCACACATAATATATATAGGGAAAAAAGTTGCCCAAAAGAAGCAGTGGACAATGGAATTATGAGTACTTTACATTTTCTTCTTTATAATTTTTTTGGATAATTTTAATGAAATCAACATTTATTTCTTAATATATAGAGATACTTATATATTAAGATATTTATATATTAGGACATATAAGACATTTCTTAATATAGTTTTTTAAGGGGCGGGGAGATGTGTGCCAATTGCACAGATGTTCCCTGGAGTTACCCTTAGACCCCCAAGTGATAAGATTCCTTTACCAAGAATTGAAGCTTCTTCACTCAGATTATGCAGGTTCCCTACACAGAATGAGAAGATGCATTTTTCCTGTTTAACCTGACAGTGTGGTGGGTACTGTGGCTCATGCCTGTAATCCCAGCACTTTGGGAATGCATGGTGGGAAGATTGCTTGAGGCCAGGAGTTTGAGACCAACTTAGGCAACATAGCAAGACCTCACCTCTACAGAAAAATGAAAAAATAAACTAGACATGGTGGTATGCACCTATAGTCCAAACTACTCAGGAGGCTGAGGAGGGAGGTTCACCTGAACCCAGGCTGTCAAGGCTGCAGTGAACTATCATTGTGACACTGCACTCCAACTTGGGAAACAGAGTAAGACCCTGACAAAACAACAGCAACACACACACACACACACACACACACACACACACACAACAAACTGCCAGTGTCAGCCAGTAGCTTGGGCCATTGAGCAAAAGCCATTTGGCAGGGCTTCCTGAAAAGCTAGATTCTTACACGCTTTTGGTAATTTATTTTAACACTGACCCTGGTGGCCTATTCATCTGCAAAATGAATACCTGTAGTTAAACATGTGGAGGGGATATCAGTGTATGTCTCCTCTTGCTGGTCTTGGGATGGACCACCCATCCCTCACTGGGTGGGGCTGCCCTGATACTGAAGATGGTCACAAGGGCATGTAGAAGGCTGGTGTGGGTCGTAATTCCTGGCAATCTGCATTTTAATTCATTCACGACCCCCCCCCCCCCCCCCCC